GTGGACGTGGACGTGGACGTGACGTGGACGTGGACGTGGACGTGACTGGACGTGGACGTGGACGTGGACGTGGACGTGGACGTGGACGTGGACGTGGACGTGGACGTGGACATGGTCGTGGACGTGGACTAGGCAGACGTGGACGTGGACGTGGACATGACGTGGACGTGGACGTGGACATGGACGTGGACGTGGACGTGGAACGTGGACGTGGACTGGGACTTGGACGTGGACGTGGACGTGGACGTGGACGTGGACATGGACGTGGACTTGGACGTGGACGTGGACGTGGACGTGGACGTGGACGTGGACTGGACGTGGACGTGGACGTGGTCGTGGACGTGGACGTGGACGTGGCTTGACGTGGACGTGGACGTGGACGTGACGTGGACGTGGACGTGGACGTGGACGTGGACGTGGACGTTGACGTGGACTTGGACGTGGACGTGGACGTGGACGTGGACGTGGACGTGGACGTGGACGTGGACGTGGACGTGGACGTGGACGTGGACGTGGACGTGGACGTGGACGTGGACGTGGACGTGGACGTGGACGTGGACGTGGACGTGGACGTGGACGTGGACGTGGACTGGACGGGACGTGGACGTGGACGTGGCGTGGACGTGGGACGTGGACGTGGACGTGGACGTGGGACGTGGACGTGGACGTGGACGTGGACATGGACGTGGACATGGACGTGGACGTGGACGTGACGTGGACGTGGACGTGGACGTATGGACGTGGACGTGGACGTGGACGTGGACGTGTGGGACGTGGACGTGGACTGGACGTGGACGTGGACGTGGACGTGGACGTGGACGTGGACGTGGACGTGGACGTGGACGTGGACGTGGACGTGGACGTGGACGTGACGTTGGACGTGGACGTGGACGTGGACGTGGACGTGGACGTGGACGTGGACGTGGACGTGGACGTGGACGTGGACGTGGACGTGGACGTGGACGTGGACATGGACGTGGACGTGGACGTGGACGTGGACGTGGACGTGACGTGGACATGGACGTGGACGTGGACGTGGACGTGGACTGTGGACGTGGACGTGGACGTGGACGTGGACGTGGACGTGGACGTGGACGTGGACGTGGACGTGGACGTGGACGTGGACGTGGACGTGGACATGGACGTGGACGTGGACGTGGACATGGACGTGGACGTGGACGTGGAGGACTTGGACGTGGACGTGGACGTGGACGTGGACGTGGACGTGGACGTGGACGTGGACGTGGACGTGGACGTGGACGTGGACATGGACGTGGACGTGGACGTGGACGTGGACATGGACGTGACATGGACGTGGACGTGGACATGGGACGTGGACGTGGACGTGGACGTGGACGTGGACGTGGACGTGGACGTGGACGTGGACGTGGACGTGGGACTGGACGTGGACTGGACGTGGACGTGGACGTGGACGTGGACGGACTGGACGTGGACGTGGACGTGGACGTGGACGGACGTGGACGTGGACGTGGACATGGACGTGGACTGGACGTGGACGTGGACGTGGACGTGGACGTGGACGTGGACGTGGACGTGGACGTGTACGTGGACGTGGACGTGGACGTGGACATGGACGTGGACGTGGACGTGGACGTGGACGTGGACGTGGACGTGGACGTGGACGTGACATGGACGTGGACGTGGACGTGGACGTGGACGTGGACGTGGACGTGGACATGGACGTGGACGTGACGTGGACGTGGACGTGGACGTGGACGTGGACGTGGACGGGACGTGGTGGGACGTGGTTGACGTGGACGTGGACGTGGACGTGGACGGGACTGTGGACGTGGACGTGGACGTGGACGTGGACGTGGACGTGGACGTGGACGTGGACGTGGACGTGGCGTGGACGTGGACGGACTGACGTGGACGTGGACGTGGACGTGGACTTGGACGTGGACGTGGACGTGGACGTGGACGTGGACGTGGACGTGGACGTGGACGTGGACGTGGACGTGGACGTGGACGTGGACGTGGACGTGGACGTGGACGTGGACGTGGACGTGGACATGGACGTGGACGTGGACGTGGACGTGACGTGGACGTGGACGTGGACGTGGACGTGGACGTGGACGTGGACGTGGACGTGGACGTGGACTGGACGTGGACATGGACGTGGACGTGGACGTGGACGTGGACGTGGACGTGGACGTGGACGTGGACGTGGACGTGGACGTGGACGTGGACGTGGACATGGACGTGGAGTGGACGTGGACGTGGACGTGACGTGGACGTGGACGTGGACGTGGACGTGGACGTGGACGTGGACGTGGACGTGGACGTGGACGTGGACGTGGACGTGGACGTGGACAGGGACGTGGACGTGGACATGGACGTGGACTGGACGTGGACGTGGACGTGGACGTGGACGTGGACGTGGACGTGGACGTGGACATGGACGTGGACGTGGACGTGGACGTGGACGTGGACGTGGACGTGGACGTGGACGTGGACGTGGACGTGGACGTGGACGTGGACATGGACGTGACGTGGACGTGGACGTGGAATGGACGTGGACGTGGACGACGTGGACGTGGACGTGGACGTGGACGTGGACGTGGACGTGGACGTGGACGTGGACTGGACGTGGACGTGGACGTGGACGTGGACGTGGACGTGGACGTGGACGTGGACGTGGACGTGGACGTGGACGTGGACGTGGACGTGGACGTGGACGTGGACGTGGATGACGTGGACGTGGACGTGGACGTGGACGTGGACGTGGACATGGACGTGGACGTGGACGTGGACGTGGACGTGGAAGGACGTGGACGTGGACGTGGACGTGGACGTTGACGTGGACGTGGACATGGACGTGGACGTGGACGTGGACGTGACGTGACGTGGACGTGGACGTGGACGTGGACGTGGACGTGGAGTCGTGGACGTGGACGTGGACGTGCGTGGACGTGACGTGGACGTGGACCGTGGACGTGGACGTGGACGTGGACGTGGACGTGGACGTGGACGTGGACGTGGACGTGGACGTGACGTGGACGTGGACGTGGACTGGACGTGGACTTGGACGTGGACGTGGACGTGGACGTGGACGTGGACGTGGACGTGGACGTGGACGTGGACGTGGACGTGACGTGGACAGGACGTGGACGTGGACGTGGACATGGATGTGGACGTGACGTGGACGTGGACGTGGACGTGGACGTGGACGTGGACGTGGACGTGGACGTGGACGTGACGTGGACGTGGACGTGGACGTGGACGTGGACGTGGACGTGGACGTGGACCGTGGACGTGGACGTGGACGTGGACGTGGACGTGGACGTGGACGTGGACGTGGACGTGGACGTGGACGTGGACGTGGACGTGGACGTGGACGTGGACGTGACGTGGACGTGGACGTGGACGTGGACGTGGACGTGGACTGGTGGACGTGGACGTGGACGTGGACGTGGACGTGGACGTGGACGTGGACGTGGACGTGGACATGGACGTGGACTGGACGTGGACGTGGACGTGGACGTGGACGTGGGACGTGGACGTGGACATGGACGTGGACGTGGACGTGGACGTGGACGTGGACGTGGACATGGACGTGGACGTGGACGTGGACGTGGACGTGGGACGTGGACGTGGACGTGGACGTGGACGTGGACGTGGACGTGGACGTGGACGTGGACGTGACGTGGACGTGGACGTGGACGTGGACGTGGACGTGGACGTGGACGTGGACGTGGACGTGGACGTGGACGTGGACGTGGACGTGGACGTGGACGTGGACGTGGACGTGACGTGGACGTGGACGTGGACGTGGACTGGACGTGGACGTGGACGTGGACGTGGACGTGGACGTGGACGTGGACGTGGACGGTGGACGTGGACGTGGACGTGGACGTGGACGTGGACGTGGACGTGGACGTGGACGTGGACGTGGACGTGGACGTGGACGGACGTGACGTGGACATGGACGTGGACGTGGACGTGGACGTGGACGTGGACATGGACGTGGACGTGGACGTGGACGGACGTGGACGTGGACATGGACGTGGACGTGGACGTGGACGTGGACGTGGACGTGACGTGGACGTGGACGTGGACGTGGACGTGGACGTGGACGTGGACGTGGACGTGGACGTGGACGTGGACGTGGACGTGGACGTGGACGTGGACGTGGACGTGGACACGTGGACGTGGACGTGGACGTGGACGTGGACGTGGACGTGGACGTGGACGTGGACGTGGACGTGGACGTGGACGTGGACGTGGACGTGGACTGGACGTGGACGTGGACGTGGACATGGACGTGGACGTGGACGTGGACGTGGACTGGACGTGGACGTGGACGTGGACGTGGACGTGGACGTGGACGTGGACGTGGACGTGGACGTGGACGTGGACGTGGACGTGGACGTGGACGTGGACGTGGACGTGGACGTGGACGTGGACGTGGACGTGGACGTGGACGTGGACGTGGACGTGGAGGACGTGGACGTGGACTGGACGTGGACGTGGACGTGGACGTGGACGTGGACGTGGACGTGGACGTGGACGTGGACGTGGACGTGGACGTGGACGTGGACGTGGACGTGGACGTGGACGTGGACGTGGACGTGGACGTGGACGTGGACGTGGACGTGGACGTGGACGTGGACGTGGACGTGGACGTGGACGTGACGTGGACGTGGACGTGGACGTGGACGTGGACGTGGACGTGGACGTGGACGTGGACGTGGACGTGGACGTGGACGTGGACGTGGACGTGGACGTGGACGTGGACAGGACGTGGACGTGGACGTGGACGTGGACGTGGACGTGGACGTGGACGTGGACGTGGACGTGGACGTGGACGTGGACGTGGACGTGGACGTGGAGTGGACGTGGACGTGGACGTGGACGTGGACGTGGACGTGGACGTGGACGTGGACGTGGACGTGGACGTGGACGTGGACTGACGTGGACGTGGACGTGGACGTGGACGTGGACGTGGACGTGGACGTGGACGTGGACGTGGACGTGGACGTGGACGTGGACGTGGACGTGGACGTGGACGTGGACGTGGACGTGGACGTGGACGTGGACGTGGACGTGGACGTGGACGTGGACGTGGACGTGGACGTGGACGTGGACGTGGACGTGGACGTGGACGTGGACGTGGACGTGGACGTGGACGTGGACGTGGACGTGGACGTGGACGTGGACGTGGACGTGGACGTGGACGTGGACGTGGACGTGGACGTGGACGTGGACGTGGACGTGGACGTGGACGTGGACGGACGTGGACGTGGACGTGGACGTGGACGTGGACGTGGACGTGGACGTGGACGTGGACGTGGACGTGGACGTGGACGTGGACGTGGACGGACGTGGACGTGGACGTGGACGTGGACGTGGACGTGGACGTGGACGTGGACGTGGGAGTTGGCGTGGGAGGTGACGTGGACGTGGACGTGGACGTGGACGTGACGTGGACGTGGACGTGGACGTGGACGTGGACGTGGACGTGGACGTGGACGTGGACGTGGACGTGGACGTGGACGTGGACGTGGACGTGGACGTGGACGTGGACGTGGACGTGGACGTGGACATGGACGTGGACGTGGACGTGGACGTGGACGTGGACGTGGACGTGGACGTGGACGTGGACGTGGACGTGGACGTGGACGTGGACGTGGACGTGGACGTGGAGGACTTGACGTGGACGTGGACGTGACGTGGACGTGGACGTGGACGTGGACGTGGACGTGGACGTGGACGTGGGACGTGGACGTGGACGTGGACGTGGACGTGGACGTGGACGTGGACGTGGACATGGACGTGGGACGTGGACGTGGACGTGGACGTGGACATGGACGTGGACGTGGACGGACGTGGACGTGGACGTGGAGGACGTGGACGTGGACGTGGACGTGGACGTGGACGTGGACGTGGACGTGGACGTGGACGTGGACGTGGACGTGGACGGGACGTGGACGTGGACGTGGACGTGGACGTGGACGTGGACGTGGACGTGGACGTGGACGTGGACATGGACGTGGACGTGGACGTGGACGTGGACGTGGACGTGGACGTGGACGTGGACGTGGACGTGGACGTGGACGTGGACGTGGACGGGACGTGGACGTGGACGTGGACGTGGACGTGGACGTGGACGTGGACGTGGACGTGGACGTGGACGTGGACGTGGACGTGGACGTGGACGTGGACGTGGACGTGGACGTGGACGTGGACGTGGACGTGGACGTGGACGTGGACGTGGACGTGGACGTGGACGTGGACGTGGACGTGGACGTGGACGTGGACGTGGACGTGGACGTGGACGTGGACGTGGACGTGGACGTGGACGTGGACGTGGACGTGGACGTGGACGTGGACGTGGACGTGGACGTGGACGTGGACGTGGACGTGGACGTGGACGTGGACGTGGACGTGGACGTGGACGTGGACGTGGACGTGGACGTGGACGTGGACGTGGACGTGGACGTGGACATGGACGTGGACGTGGACGTGGACGTGGACGTGGACGTGGACGTGGACGTGGACGTGGACGTGGACGTGGACGTGGACGTGGACGTGGACGTGGACGTGGACGTGGACGTGGACGTGGACGTGGACGTGGACGTGGACATGGACGTGGACGTGGACGTGGACGTGGACGTGGACGTGGACGTGGACGTGGACGTGGACGTGGACGTGGACGTGGACGTGGACGTGGACGTGGACGTGGACGTGGACGTGGACATGGACGTGGACGTGGACGTGGACGTGGACGTGGACGTGGACGTGGACGTGGACGTGGACGTGGACGTGGACGTGGACGTGGACGTGGACGTGGACGTGGACGTGGACGTGGACGTGGACGTGGACGTGGACGTGGACGTGGACGTGGACGTGGACGTGGACGTGGACGTGGACGTGGACGTGGACGTGGACGTGGACGTGGACGTGGACGTGGACGTGGACGTGGACGTGGACGTGGACGTGGACGTGGACGTGGACGTGGACGTGGACGTGGACGTGGACGTGGACGTGGACGTGGACGTGGACGTGGACGTGGACGTGGACGTGGACGTGGACGTGGACGTGGACGTGGACGTGGACGTGGACGTGGACGTGGACGTGGACGTGGACGTGGACGTGGACGTGGACGTGGACGTGGACGTGGACGTGGACGTGGACGTGGACGTGGACGTGGACGTGGACGTGGACGTGGACGTGGACGTGGACGTGGACGTGGACGTGGACGTGGACGTGGACGTGGACGTGGACGTGGACGTGGACGTGGACGTGGACGTGGACGTGGACATGGACGTACGTGGACGTGGACGTGGACGTGGACGTGGACATGGACGTGGACGTGACGTGGACGTGGACGTGGACGTGGACGTGGACGTGGACGTGGACGTGGACGTGGACGTGGACGTGGACGTGGACGTGGACGTGGACGTGGACGTGGACGTGGACGTGGACGTGGACGTGGACGTGGACGTGGACGTGGACGTGGACGTGGACGTGGACGTGGACGTGGACGTGGACGTGGACGTGGACATGGACGTGGACGTGGACGTGGACGTGGACGTGGACGTGGACGTGGACGTGACGTGGACATGGACGTGGACGTGGACGTGGACGTGGACGTGGACGTGGACGTGGACGTGGACGTGGACGTGGACGTGGACGTGGACGTGGACGTGGACGTGGACGTGGACGTGGACGTGGACGTGGACGTGGACGTGGACGTGGACGTGGACGTGGACGTGGACGTGGACGTGGACGTGGACGTGGACGTGGACGTGGACGTGGACGTGGACGTGGACGTGGACGTGGACGTGGACGTGGACGTGGACGTGGACGTGGACGTGGACGTGGACGTGGACGTGGACGTGGACGTGGACGTGGACGTGGACGTGGACGTGGACGTGGACGTGGACGTGGACGTGGACGTGGACGTGGACGTGGACGTGGACGTGGACGTGGACGTGGACGTGGACGTGGACGTGGACGTGGACGTGGACGTGGACATGGACGTGGACGTGGACGTGGTGGACGTGGACGTGGACATGGACGTGGACGTGGACGTGGACGTGGACGTGGACGTGGACGTGGACGTGGACGTGGACATGGACGTGGACGTGGACGTGGACGTGGACGTGGACGTGGACGTGGACGTGGACGTGGACGTGGACGTGGACGTGGACGTGGACGGGACGTGGACGTGGTGGTGGTGGTGGTGGACGTGGTGGGACGTGGACGTGCGTGGACGTGGACGTGGACGTGGACGTGGACGTGGACGTGGACGTGGACGTGGACGTGGACGTGGACGTGGACGTGGACGTGGACGTGGACGTGGACGTGGACGTGGACGTGGACGTGGACGTGGACGTGGACGTGGACGTGGACGTGGACGTGGACGTGGACGTGGACATGGACGTGGACGTGGACGTGACGTGGACGTGGACGTGGACGTGGACGTGGACGGGACGTGGACGTGGACGTGGACGTGGACTGGACGTGGACGTGGACGTGGACGTGGACGTGGACGTGGACGGACGTGGACGTGGACGTGGACGTGGACGTGGACGTGGACGTGGACGTGGACGTGGACGTGGACGTGGACGTGGACGTGGACGTGGACGTGGACGTGGACGTGGACGTGGACGTGGACGTGGACGTGGACGTGGACGTGGACGTGGACGTGGACGTGGACGTGGACGTGGATGGACGTGGACGTGGACGTGGACGTGGACGTGGACGTGGACGTGGACGTGGACGTGGACGTGGACGTGGACGTGGACGTGGACGTGGACGTGGACGTGGACGTGGACGTGGACGTGGACGTGGACGTGGACGTGGACGTGGACGTGGACGTGGACGTGGACGTGGACTGGACGTGGACGTGGACGTGGACGTGGACGTGGACGTGGACGTGGACGTGGACGTGGACGTGGACGTGGACGTGGACGTGGACGTGGACGTGGACGTGGACGTGGACGTGGACGTGGACGTGGACGTGGACGTGGACGTGGACATGGACGTGGACGTGGACGTGGACGTGGACGTGGACGTGGACGTGGACGTGGACGTGGACGTGGACGTGGACGTGGACGTGGACGTGGACGTGGACGTGGACGTGGACGTGGACGTGGACTGGTTGGGACGTGGACGTGGACGTGGACGTGGGACGTGGACGTGGACGTGGACGTGGACGTGGACGTGGACATGGACGTGGACGTGGACGTGGACGTGGACGTGGACGTGGACGTGGACGTGGACGTGGACGTGGACGTGGACGTGGACGTGGACGTGGACGTGGACGTGGACGTGGACGTTGGACGTGGACGTGGACGTGGACGTGGACGTGGACGTGGACATGGACGTGGACGTGGACGTGGACGGACGTGGACGTGGACGTGGACTGGAGACGTGGACGTGGACGTGGACGTGGACGTGGACGTGGACGTGGACGTGGACGTGGACGTGGACGTGGACGTGGACGTGGACGTGGACGTGACGACGTGGACATGGACGTGGACGTGGACGTGGACGTGGACGTGGACGTGGACGTGGACGTGGACGTGGACGTGGACGTGGACGTGGACGTGGACGTGGACGTGGACATGGACGTGGACGTGGACTTGACGTGGACGTGGACGTGGACGTGGACGTGGACGTGGACGTGGACGTGGACGTGGACGTGGACATGGACGTGGACGTGGACGTGGACGTGGACGTGGACGTGGACGTGTGGACGTGGACGTGGACGTGGACGTGGACGTGGACGTGGACGTGGACGTGGACGTGGACGTGGACGGGACGTGGACGTGGACGTGGACGTGGACGTGGACGTGGACGTGGACGTGGACGTGGACGTGGACGTGGACGTGGACGTGGACGTGGACGTGGACGTGGACGTGGACGTGGACGTGGACGTGGACGTGGACGTGGACGTGGACGTGGACGTGGACGTGGACGTGGACGTGGACGTGGACATGGACGTGGACGTGGACGTGGACGTGGACGTGGACGTGGACGTGGACGTGGACGTGGACGTGGACGTGGACTGGACGTGGACGTGGACGTGGACGTGGACGTGGACGTGGACGTGGACGTGGACGTGGACGTGGACGTGGACGTGGAGGACGTGGACGTGGACGTGGACGTGGACGTGGACGTGGACGTGGACGTGGACGTGGACGTGGACGTGGACGTGGACGTGGACGTGGACGTGGACGTGGACGTGGACGTGGACGTGGACGTGGACGTGGACGTGGACGTGGACGTGGACGTGGACGTGGACGTGGACGTGGACGTGGACGTGGACGTGGACGTGGACGTGGACGTGGACGTGGACGTGGACATGGACGTGGACGTGGACGTGGACGTGGACGTGGACGTGGACGTGGACGTGGACGTGGACGTGGACGTGGACGTGGACGTGGACGTGGACTGGACGTGGACGTGGACGTGGACGTGGACGTGGACGTGGACGTGGACGTGGACGTGGACGTGGACGTGGACGTGGACGTGGACGTGGACGTGGACGTGGACGTGGACGTGGACGTGGACGTGGACGTGGACGTGGACGTGGACGTGGACGTGGACGTGGACGTGGACGTGGACGTGGACGTGGACGTGGACGTGGACGTGGACATGGACGTGGACGTGGACGTGGACGTGGACGTGGACGTGGACGTGGACGTGGACGTGGACGTGGACGTGGACGTGGACGTGGACGTGGACGTGGACGTGGACGTGGACGTGGACGTGGACGTGGACGTGGACGTGGACGTGGACGTGGACGTGGACGTGGACGTGGACGTGGACGTGGACGTGGACATGGACGTGGACGTGGACGTGGACATGGGTGGTGGACGTGGACGTGGACGTGGACGTGGACGTGGACGTGGACGTGGACGTGGACGTGGACGTGGACGTGGACGTGGACGTGGACGTGGACGTGGACGTGGACGTGGACGTGGACGTGGACGTGGACGTGGACGTGGACGTGGACGTGGACGTGGACGTGGACGTGGACGTGGACGTGGACGTGGACGTGGACGTGGACGTGGACGTGGACGTGGACGTGGACGTGGAGTGGACGTGGACGGACGTGGACGTGGACGTGGACGTGGACGTGGACGTGGACGTGGACGTGGACGTGGACGTGGACGTGGACGTGGACGTGGACGTGGACGTGGACGTGGACATGGACGTGGACGTGGACGTGGACGTGGACGTGGACGTGGACGTGGACGTGGACGTGGACGTGGACGTGGACGTGGACGTGGACGTGGACGTGGACGTGGACGTGGACGTGGACGTGGACGTGGACGTGGACGTGGACGTGGACGTGGACGTGGACGTGGACGTGGACGTGGACGTGGACGTGGACGTGGACGTGGACGTGGACGTGGACGTGGACGTGGACGTGGACGTGGACGTGGACGTGGACGTGGACGTGGACGTGGACGTGGACGTGGACGTGGACGTGGACGTGGACGTGGACGTGGACGTGGACGTGGACGTGGACGTGGACGTGGACGTGGACGTGGACGTGGACGTGGACGTGGACGTGGACGTGGACGTGACGTGACGTGGACGTGGACATGGACGTGGACGTGGACGTGGACGTGGACGTGGACGTGGACGTGGACGTGGACGTGGACGTGGACGTGGACGTGGACGTGGACGTGGACGTGGACGTGGACGTGGACGTGGACGTGGACGTGGACGTGGACGTGGACGTGGACGTGGACGTGGACGTGGACGTGGACGTGGACGTGGACGTGGACGTGGACGTGGACGTGGACGTGGACGTGGACGTGGACGTGGACGTGGACATGGACGTGGACGTGGACGTGGACGTGGACGTGGACGTGGACGTGGACATGGACGTGGACGTGGACGTGGACGTGACGTGGACGTGGACGTGGACGTGGACGTGGACGTGGACGTGGACGTGGACGTGGACGTGGACGTGGACGTGGACGTGGACGTGGACGTGGACGTGGACGTGGACGTGGACGTGGACGTGGACGTGGACGTGGACATGGACGTGGACGTGGACGTGGACGTGGACGTGGACGTGGACGTGGACGTGGACGTGGACGTGGACGTGGACGTGGACGTGGACGTGGACGTGGACGTGGACGTGGACGTGGACGTGGACGTGGACGTGGACGTGGACGTGGACGTGGACGTGGACGTGGACGTGGACGTGGACGTGGACGTGGACGTGGACGTGGACGTGGACGTGGACGTGGACGTGGACGTGGACGTGGACGTGGACGTGGACGTGGACGTGGACGTGGACGTGGAGACGTGGACGTGGACGTGGACGTGGACGTGGACGTGGACGTGGACGTGGACGTGGACGTGGACGTGGACGTGGACGTGGACGTGGACGTGGACGTGGACGTGGACGTGACGTGGACGTGGACGTGGACGTGGACGTGGACGTGGACGTGGACGTGGACGTGGACGTGGACGTGGACGTGGACGTGGACGTGGACGTGGACGTGGACGTGGACGTGGACGTGGACGTGGACGTGGACGTGGACGTGGACGTGGACGTGGACGTGGACGTGGACGTGGACGTGGACGTGGACGTGGACGTGGACGTGGACGTGGACGTGGACGTGGACATGGACGTGGACGTGGACGTGGACGTGGACGTGGACGTGGACGTGGACGTGGACGTGGACGTGGACGTGGACGTGGACGTGGACGTGGACGTGGACGTGGACGTGGACGTGGACGTGGACGTGGACGTGGACGTGGACGTGGACGTGGACGTGGACGTGGACGTGGACGTGGACGTGGACGTGGACGTGGACGTGACGTGGACGTGGACGTGGACGTGGACGTGGACGTGGACGTGGACGTGGACGTGGACGTGGACGTGGACGTGGACGTGGACGTGGACGTGGACGTGGACGTGGACGTGGACGTGGACGTGGACGTGGACGTGGACGTGGACGTGGACGTGGACGTGGACGTGGACGTGGACGTGGACGTGGACGTGGACGTGGACGTGGACGTGGACGTGGACGTGGACGTGGACGTGGACGTGGACGTGGACGTGGACGTGGACGTGGACGTGGACGTGGACGTGGACGTGGACGTGGACGTGGACGTGGACGTGGACGTGGACGTGGACGTGGACGTGGACGTGGACGTGGACGTGGACGTGGACGTGGACGTGGACGTGGACGTGGACGTGGACGTGGACGTGGACGTGGACGTGGACGTGGACGTGGACGTGGACGTGGACGTGGACGTGGACGTGGACGTGGACGTGGACGTGGACGTGGACGTGGACGTGGACGTGGACGTGGACGTGGACGTGGACGTGGACGTGGACGTGGACGTGGACGTGGACGTGGACGTGGACGTGGACGTGGACGTGGACGTGGACGTGGACGTGGACGTGGACGTGGACGTGGACGTGGACGTGGACGTGGACGTGGACGTGGACGTGGACGTGGACGTGGACGTGGACGTGGACGTGGACGTGGACGTGGACGTGGACGTGGACGTGGACGTGGACGTGGACGTGGACGTGGACGTGGACGTGGACGTGGACGTGGACGTGGACGTGGACGTGGACGTGGACGTGGACGTGGACGTGGACGTGGACGTGGACGTGGACGTGGACGTGGACGTGGACGTGGACGTGGACGTGGACGTGGACGTGGACGTGGACGTGGACGTGGACGTGGACGTGGACGTGGACGTGGACGTGGACGTGGACGTGGACGTGGACGTGACGTGGACGTGGACGTGGACGTGGACGTGGACGTGGACGTGGACGTGGACGTGGACGTGGACGTGGACGTGGACGTGGACGTGGACGTGGACGTGGACGTGGACGTGGACGTGGACGTGGACGTGGACGTGGACGTGGACGTGGACGTGGACGTGGACGTGGACGTGGACGTGGACGTGGACGTGGACGTGGACGTGGACGTGGACGTGGACGTGGACGTGGACGTGGACGTGGACGTGGACGTGGACGTGGACGTGGACGTGGACGTGGACGTGGACGTGGACGTGGACGTGGACGTGGACGTGGACGTGGACGTGGACGTGGACGTGGACGTGGACGTGGACGTGGACGTGGACGTGGACGTGGACGTGGACGTGGACGTGGACGTGGACGTGGACGTGGACGTGGACGTGGACGTGGACGTGGACGTGGACGTGGACGTGGACGTGGACGTGGACGTGGACGTGGACGTGGACGTGGACGTGGACGTGGACGTGGACGTGGACGTGGACGTGGACGTGGACGTGGACGTGGACGTGGACGTGGACGTGGACGTGGACGTGGACGTGGACGTGGACGTGGACGTGGACGTGGACGTGGACGTGGACGTGGACGTGGACGTGGACGTGGACGTGGACGTGGACGTGGACGTGGACGTGGACGTGGACGTGGACGTGGACGTGGACGTGGACGTGGACGTGGACGTGGACGTGGACGTGGACGTGGACGTGGACGTGGACGTGGACGTGGACGTGGACGTGGACGTGGACGTGGACGTGGACGTGGACGTGGACGTGGACGTGGACGTGGACGTGGACGTGGACGTGGACGTGGACGTGGACGTGGACGTGGACGTGGACGTGGACGTGGACGTGGACGTGGACGTGGACGTGGACGTGGACGTGGACGTGGACGTGGACGTGGACGTGGACGTGGACGTGGACGTGGACGTGGACGTGGACGTGGACGTGGACGTGGACGTGGACGTGGACGTGGACGTGGACGTGGACGTGGACGTGGACGTGGACGTGGACGTGGACGTGGACGTGGACGTGGACGTGGACGTGGACGTGGACGTGGACGTGGACGTGGACGTGGACGTGGACGTGGACATGGACGTGGACGTGGACGTGGACGTGGACGTGGACGTGGACGTGGACGTGGACGTGGACGTGGACGTGGACGTGGACGTGGACGTGGACGTGGACGTGGACGTGGACGTGGACGTGGACGTGGACGTGGACGTGGACGTGGACGTGGACGTGGACGTGGACGTGGACGTGGACGTGGACGTGGACGTGGACGTGGACGTGGACGTGGACGTGGACGTGGACGTGGACGTGGACGTGGACGTGGACGTGGACGTGGACGTGGACGTGGACGTGGACGTGGACGTGGACGTGGACGTGGACGTGGACGTGGACGTGGACGTGGACGTGGACGTGGACGTGGACGTGGACGTGGACGTGGACGTGGACGTGGACGTGGACGTGGACGTGGACGTGGACGTGGACGTGGACGTGGACGTGGACGTGGACGTGGACGTGGACGTGGACGTGGACGTGGACGTGGACGTGGACGTGGACGTGGACGTGGACGTGGACGTGGACGTGGACGTGGACGTGGACGTGGACGTGGACGTGGACGTGGACGTGGACGTGGACGTGGACGTGGACGTGGACGTGGACGTGGACGTGGACGTGGACGTGGACGTGGACGTGGACGTGGACGTGGACGTGGACGTGGACGTGGACGTGGACGTGGACGTGGACGTGGACGTGGACGTGGACGTGGACGTGGACGTGGACGTGGACGTGGACGTGGACGTGGACGTGGACGTGGACGTGGACGTGGACGTGGACGTGGACGTGGACGTGGACGTGGACGTGGACGTGGACGTGGACGTGGACGTGGACGTGGACGTGGACGTGGACGTGGACGTGGACGTGGACGTGGACGTGGACGTGGACGTGGACGTGGACGTGGACGTGGACGTGGACGTGGACGTGGACGTGGACGTGGACGTGGACGTGGACGTGGACGTGGACGTGGACGTGGACGTGGACGTGGACGTGGACGTGGACGTGGACGTGGACGTGGACGTGGACGTGGACGTGGACGTGGACGTGGACGTGGACGTGGACGTGGACGTGGACGTGGACGTGGACGTGGACGTGGACGTGGACGTGGACGTGGACGTGGACGTGGACGTGGACGTGGACGTGGACGTGGACGTGGACGTGGACGTGGACGTGGACGTGGACGTGGACGTGGACGTGGACGTGGACGTGGACGTGGACGTGGACGTGGACGTGGACGTGGACGTGGACGTGGACGTGGACGTGGACGTGGACGTGGACGTGGACGTGGACGTGGACGTGGACGTGGACGTGGACGTGGACGTGGACGTGGACGTGGACGTGGACGTGGACGTGGACGTGGACGTGGACGTGGACGTGGACGTGGACGTGGACGTGGACGTGGACGTGGACGTGGACGTGGACGTGGACGTGGACGTGGACGTGGACGTGGACGTGGACGTGGACGTGGACGTGGACGTGGACGTGGACGTGGACGTGGACGTGGACGTGGACGTGGACGTGGACGTGGACGTGGACGTGGACGTGGACGTGGACGTGGACGTGGACGTGGACGTGGACGTGGACGTGGACGTGGACGTGGACGTGGACGTGGACGTGGACGTGGACGTGGACGTGGACGTGGACGTGGACGTGGACGTGGACGTGGACGTGGACGTGGACGTGGACGTGGACGTGGACGTGGACGTGGACGTGGACGTGGACGTGGACGTGGACGTGGACGTGGACGTGGACGTGGACGTGGACGTGGACGTGGACGTGGACGTGGACGTGGACGTGGACGTGGACGTGGACGTGGACGTGGACGTGGACGTGGACGTGGACGTGGACGTGGACGTGGACGTGGACGTGGACGTGGACGTGGACGTGGACGTGGACGTGGACGTGGACGTGGACGTGGACGTGGACGTGGACGTGGACGTGGACGTGGACGTGGACGTGGACGTGGACGTGGACGTGGACGTGGACGTGGACGTGGACGTGGACGTGGACGTGGACGTGGACGTGGACGTGGACGTGGACGTGGACGTGGACGTGGACGTGGACGTGGACGTGGACGTGGACGTGGACGTGGACGTGGACGTGGACGTGGACGTGGACGTGGACGTGGACGTGGACGTGGACGTGGACGTGGACGTGGACGTGGACGTGGACGTGGACGTGGACGTGGACGTGGACGTGGACGTGGACGTGGACGTGGACGTGGACGTGGACGTGGACGTGGACGTGGACGTGGACGTGGACGTGGACGTGGACGTGGACGTGGACGTGGACGTGGACGTGGACGTGGACGTGGACGTGGACGTGGACGTGGACGTGGACGTGGACGTGGACGTGGACGTGGACGTGGACGTGGACGTGGACGTGGACGTGGACGTGGACGTGGACGTGGACGTGGACGTGGACGTGGACGTGGACGTGGACGTGGACGTGGACGTGGACGTGGACGTGGACGTGGACGTGGACGTGGACGTGGACGTGGACGTGGACGTGGACGTGGACGTGGACGTGGACGTGGACGTGGACGTGGACGTGGACGTGGACGTGGACGTGGACGTGGACGTGGACGTGGACGTGGACGTGGACGTGGACGTGGACGTGGACGTGGACGTGGACGTGGACGTGGACGTGGACGTGGACGTGGACGTGGACGTGGACGTGGACGTGGACGTGGACGTGGACGTGGACGTGGACGTGGACGTGGACGTGGACGTGGACGTGGACGTGGACGTGGACGTGGACGTGGACGTGGACGTGGACGTGGACGTGGACGTGGACGTGGACGTGGACGTGGACGTGGACGTGGACGTGGACGTGGACGTGGACGTGGACGTGGACGTGGACGTGGACGTGGACGTGGACGTGGACGTGGACGTGGACGTGGACGTGGACGTGGACGTGGACGTGGACGTGGACGTGGACGTGGACGTGGACGTGGACGTGGACGTGGACGTGGACGTGGACGTGGACGTGGACGTGGACGTGGACGTGGACGTGGACGTGGACGTGGACGTGGACGTGGACGTGGACGTGGACGTGGACGTGGACGTGGACGTGGACGTGGACGTGGACGTGGACGTGGACGTGGACGTGGACGTGGACGTGGACGTGGACGTGGACGTGGACGTGGACGTGGACGTGGACGTGGACGTGGACGTGGACGTGGACGTGGACGTGGACGTGGACGTGGACGTGGACGTGGACGTGGACGTGGACGTGGACGTGGACGTGGACGTGGACGTGGACGTGGACGTGGACGTGGACGTGGACGTGGACGTGGACGTGGACGTGGACGTGGACGTGGACGTGGACGTGGACGTGGACGTGGACGTGGACGTGGACGTGGACGTGGACGTGGACGTGGACGTGGACGTGGACGTGGACGTGGACGTGGACGTGGACGTGGACGTGGACGTGGACGTGGACGTGGACGTGGACGTGGACGTGGACGTGGACGTGGACGTGGACGTGGACGTGGACGTGGACGTGGACGTGGACGTGGACGTGGACGTGGACGTGGACGTGGACGTGGACGTGGACGTGGACGTGGACGTGGACGTGGACGTGGACGTGGACGTGGACGTGGACGTGGACGTGGACGTGGACGTGGACGTGGACGTGGACGTGGACGTGGACGTGGACGTGGACGTGGACGTGGACGTGGACGTGGACGTGGACGTGGACGTGGACGTGGACGTGGACGTGGACGTGGACGTGGACGTGGACGTGGACGTGGACGTGGACGTGGACGTGGACGTGGACGTGGACGTGGACGTGGACGTGGACGTGGACGTGGACGTGGACGTGGACGTGGACGTGGACGTGGACGTGGACGTGGACGTGGACGTGGACGTGGACGTGGACGTGGACGTGGACGTGGACGTGGACGTGGACGTGGACGTGGACGTGGACGTGGACGTGGACGTGGACGTGGACGTGGACGTGGACGTGGACGTGGACGTGGACGTGGACGTGGACGTGGACGTGGACGTGGACGTGGACGTGGACGTGGACGTGGACGTGGACGTGGACGTGGACGTGGACGTGGACGTGGACGTGGACGTGGACGTGGACGTGGACGTGGACGTGGACGTGGACGTGGACGTGGACGTGGACGTGGACGTGGACGTGGACGTGGACGTGGACGTGGACGTGGACGTGGACGTGGACGTGGACGTGGACGTGGACGTGGACGTGGACGTGGACGTGGACGTGGACGTGGACGTGGACGTGGACGTGGACGTGGACGTGGACGTGGACGTGGACGTGGACGTGGACGTGGACGTGGACGTGGACGTGGACGTGGACGTGGACGTGGACGTGGACGTGGACGTGGACGTGGACGTGGACGTGGACGTGGACGTGGACGTGGACGTGGACGTGGACGTGGACGTGGACGTGGACGTGGACGTGGACGTGGACGTGGACGTGGACGTGGACGTGGACGTGGACGTGGACGTGGACGTGGACGTGGACGTGGACGTGGACGTGGACGTGGACGTGGACGTGGACGTGGACGTGGACGTGGACGTGGACGTGGACGTGGACGTGGACGTGGACGTGGACGTGGACGTGGACGTGGACGTGGACGTGGACGTGGACGTGGACGTGGACGTGGACGTGGACGTGGACGTGGACGTGGACGTGGACGTGGACGTGGACGTGGACGTGGACGTGGACGTGGACGTGGACGTGGACGTGGACGTGGACGTGGACGTGGACGTGGACGTGGACGTGGACGTGGACGTGGACGTGGACGTGGACGTGGACGTGGACGTGGACGTGGACGTGGACGTGGACGTGGACGTGGACGTGGACGTGGACGTGGACGTGGACGTGGACGTGGACGTGGACGTGGACGTGGACGTGGACGTGGACGTGGACGTGGACGTGGACGTGGACGTGGACGTGGACGTGGACGTGGACGTGGACGTGGACGTGGACGTGGACGTGGACGTGGACGTGGACGTGGACGTGGACGTGGACGTGGACGTGGACGTGGACGTGGACGTGGACGTGGACGTGGACGTGGACGTGGACGTGGACGTGGACGTGGACGTGGACGTGGACGTGGACGTGGACGTGGACGTGGACGTGGACGTGGACGTGGACGTGGACGTGGACGTGGACGTGGACGTGGACGTGGACGTGGACGTGGACGTGGACGTGGACGTGGACGTGGACGTGGACGTGGACGTGGACGTGGACGTGGACGTGGACGTGGACGTGGACGTGGACGTGGACGTGGACGTGGACGTGGACGTGGACGTGGACGTGGACGTGGACGTGGACGTGGACGTGGACGTGGACGTGGACGTGGACGTGGACGTGGACGTGGACGTGGACGTGGACGTGGACGTGGACGTGGACGTGGACGTGGACGTGGACGTGGACGTGGACGTGGACGTGGACGTGGACGTGGACGTGGACGTGGACGTGGACGTGGACGTGGACGTGGACGTGGACGTGGACGTGGACGTGGACGTGGACGTGGACGTGGACGTGGACGTGGACGTGGACGTGGACGTGGACGTGGACGTGGACGTGGACGTGGACGTGGACGTGGACGTGGACGTGGACGTGGACGTGGACGTGGACGTGGACGTGGACGTGGACGTGGACGTGGACGTGGACGTGGACGTGGACGTGGACGTGGACGTGGACGTGGACGTGGACGTGGACGTGGACGTGGACGTGGACGTGGACGTGGACGTGGACGTGGACGTGGACGTGGACGTGGACGTGGACGTGGACGTGGACGTGGACGTGGACGTGGACGTGGACGTGGACGTGGACGTGGACGTGGACGTGGACGTGGACGTGGACGTGGACGTGGACGTGGACGTGGACGTGGACGTGGACGTGGACGTGGACGTGGACGTGGACGTGGACGTGGACGTGGACGTGGACGTGGACGTGGACGTGGACGTGGACGTGGACGTGGACGTGGACGTGGACGTGGACGTGGACGTGGACGTGGACGTGGACGTGGACGTGGACGTGGACGTGGACGTGGACGTGGACGTGGACGTGGACGTGGACGTGGACGTGGACGTGGACGTGGACGTGGACGTGGACGTGGACGTGGACGTGGACGTGGACGTGGACGTGGACGTGGACGTGGACGTGGACGTGGACGTGGACGTGGACGTGGACGTGGACGTGGACGTGGACGTGGACGTGGACGTGGACGTGGACGTGGACGTGGACGTGGACGTGGACGTGGACGTGGACGTGGACGTGGACGTGGACGTGGACGTGGACGTGGACGTGGACGTGGACGTGGACGTGGACGTGGACGTGGACGTGGACGTGGACGTGGACGTGGACGTGGACGTGGACGTGGACGTGGACGTGGACGTGGACGTGGACGTGGACGTGGACGTGGACGTGGACGTGGACGTGGACGTGGACGTGGACGTGGACGTGGACGTGGACGTGGACGTGGACGTGGACGTGGACGTGGACGTGGACGTGGACGTGGACGTGGACGTGGACGTGGACGTGGACGTGGACGTGGACGTGGACGTGGACGTGGACGTGGACGTGGACGTGGACGTGGACGTGGACGTGGACGTGGACGTGGACGTGGACGTGGACGTGGACGTGGACGTGGACGTGGACGTGGACGTGGACGTGGACGTGGACGTGGACGTGGACGTGGACGTGGACGTGGACGTGGACGTGGACGTGGACGTGGACGTGGACGTGGACGTGGACGTGGACGTGGACGTGGACGTGGACGTGGACGTGGACGTGGACGTGGACGTGGACGTGGACGTGGACGTGGACGTGGACGTGGACGTGGACGTGGACGTGGACGTGGACGTGGACGTGGACGTGGACGTGGACGTGGACGTGGACGTGGACGTGGACGTGGACGTGGACGTGGACGTGGACGTGGACGTGGACGTGGACGTGGACGTGGACGTGGACGTGGACGTGGACGTGGACGTGGACGTGGACGTGGACGTGGACGTGGACGTGGACGTGGACGTGGACGTGGACGTGGACGTGGACGTGGACGTGGACGTGGACGTGGACGTGGACGTGGACGTGGACGTGGACGTGGACGTGGACGTGGACGTGGACGTGGACGTGGACGTGGACGTGGACGTGGACGTGGACGTGGACGTGGACGTGGACGTGGACGTGGACGTGGACGTGGACGTGGACGTGGACGTGGACGTGGACGTGGACGTGGACGTGGACGTGGACGTGGACGTGGACGTGGACGTGGACGTGGACGTGGACGTGGACGTGGACGTGGACGTGGACGTGGACGTGGACGTGGACGTGGACGTGGACGTGGACGTGGACGTGGACGTGGACGTGGACGTGGACGTGGACGTGGACGTGGACGTGGACGTGGACGTGGACGTGGACGTGGACGTGGACGTGGACGTGGACGTGGACGTGGACGTGGACGTGGACGTGGACGTGGACGTGGACGTGGACGTGGACGTGGACGTGGACGTGGACGTGGACGTGGACGTGGACGTGGACGTGGACGTGGACGTGGACGTGGACGTGGACGTGGACGTGGACGTGGACGTGGACGTGGACGTGGACGTGGACGTGGACGTGGACGTGGACGTGGACGTGGACGTGGACGTGGACGTGGACGTGGACGTGGACGTGGACGTGGACGTGGACGTGGACGTGGACGTGGACGTGGACGTGGACGTGGACGTGGACGTGGACGTGGACGTGGACGTGGACGTGGACGTGGACGTGGACGTGGACGTGGACGTGGACGTGGACGTGGACGTGGACGTGGACGTGGACGTGGACGTGGACGTGGACGTGGACGTGGACGTGGACGTGGACGTGGACGTGGACGTGGACGTGGACGTGGACGTGGACGTGGACGTGGACGTGGACGTGGACGTGGACGTGGACGTGGACGTGGACGTGGACGTGGACGTGGACGTGGACGTGGACGTGGACGTGGACGTGGACGTGGACGTGGACGTGGACGTGGACGTGGACGTGGACGTGGACGTGGACGTGGACGTGGACGTGGACGTGGACGTGGACGTGGACGTGGACGTGGACGTGGACGTGGACGTGGACGTGGACGTGGACGTGGACGTGGACGTGGACGTGGACGTGGACGTGGACGTGGACGTGGACGTGGACGTGGACGTGGACGTGGACGTGGACGTGGACGTGGACGTGGACGTGGACGTGGACGTGGACGTGGACGTGGACGTGGACGTGGACGTGGACGTGGACGTGGACGTGGACGTGGACGTGGACGTGGACGTGGACGTGGACGTGGACGTGGACGTGGACGTGGACGTGGACGTGGACGTGGACGTGGACGTGGACGTGGACGTGGACGTGGACGTGGACGTGGACGTGGACGTGGACGTGGACGTGGACGTGGACGTGGACGTGGACGTGGACGTGGACGTGGACGTGGACGTGGACGTGGACGTGGACGTGGACGTGGACGTGGACGTGGACGTGGACGTGGACGTGGACGTGGACGTGGACGTGGACGTGGACGTGGACGTGGACGTGGACGTGGACGTGGACGTGGACGTGGACGTGGACGTGGACGTGGACGTGGACGTGGACGTGGACGTGGACGTGGACGTGGACGTGGACGTGGACGTGGACGTGGACGTGGACGTGGACGTGGACGTGGACGTGGACGTGGACGTGGACGTGGACGTGGACGTGGACGTGGACGTGGACGTGGACGTGGACGTGGACGTGGACGTGGACGTGGACGTGGACGTGGACGTGGACGTGGACGTGGACGTGGACGTGGACGTGGACGTGGACGTGGACGTGGACGTGGACGTGGACGTGGACGTGGACGTGGACGTGGACGTGGACGTGGACGTGGACGTGGACGTGGACGTGGACGTGGACGTGGACGTGGACGTGGACGTGGACGTGGACGTGGACGTGGACGTGGACGTGGACGTGGACGTGGACGTGGACGTGGACGTGGACGTGGACGTGGACGTGGACGTGGACGTGGACGTGGACGTGGACGTGGACGTGGACGTGGACGTGGACGTGGACGTGGACGTGGACGTGGACGTGGACGTGGACGTGGACGTGGACGTGGACGTGGACGTGGACGTGGACGTGGACGTGGACGTGGACGTGGACGTGGACGTGGACGTGGACGTGGACGTGGACGTGGACGTGGACGTGGACGTGGACGTGGACGTGGACGTGGACGTGGACGTGGACGTGGACGTGGACGTGGACGTGGACGTGGACGTGGACGTGGACGTGGACGTGGACGTGGACGTGGACGTGGACGTGGACGTGGACGTGGACGTGGACGTGGACGTGGACGTGGACGTGGACGTGGACGTGGACGTGGACGTGGACGTGGACGTGGACGTGGACGTGGACGTGGACGTGGACGTGGACGTGGACGTGGACGTGGACGTGGACGTGGACGTGGACGTGGACGTGGACGTGGACGTGGACGTGGACGTGGACGTGGACGTGGACGTGGACGTGGACGTGGACGTGGACGTGGACGTGGACGTGGACGTGGACGTGGACGTGGACGTGGACGTGGACGTGGACGTGGACGTGGACGTGGACGTGGACGTGGACGTGGACGTGGACGTGGACGTGGACGTGGACGTGGACGTGGACGTGGACGTGGACGTGGACGTGGACGTGGACGTGGACGTGGACGTGGACGTGGACGTGGACGTGGACGTGGACGTGGACGTGGACGTGGACGTGGACGTGGACGTGGACGTGGACGTGGACGTGGACGTGGACGTGGACGTGGACGTGGACGTGGACGTGGACGTGGACGTGGACGTGGACGTGGACGTGGACGTGGACGTGGACGTGGACGTGGACGTGGACGTGGACGTGGACGTGGACGTGGACGTGGACGTGGACGTGGACGTGGACGTGGACGTGGACGTGGACGTGGACGTGGACGTGGACGTGGACGTGGACGTGGACGTGGACGTGGACGTGGACGTGGACGTGGACGTGGACGTGGACGTGGACGTGGACGTGGACGTGGACGTGGACGTGGACGTGGACGTGGACGTGGACGTGGACGTGGACGTGGACGTGGACGTGGACGTGGACGTGGACGTGGACGTGGACGTGGACGTGGACGTGGACGTGGACGTGGACGTGGACGTGGACGTGGACGTGGACGTGGACGTGGACGTGGACGTGGACGTGGACGTGGACGTGGACGTGGACGTGGACGTGGACGTGGACGTGGACGTGGACGTGGACGTGGACGTGGACGTGGACGTGGACGTGGACGTGGACGTGGACGTGGACGTGGACGTGGACGTGGACGTGGACGTGGACGTGGACGTGGACGTGGACGTGGACGTGGACGTGGACGTGGACGTGGACGTGGACGTGGACGTGGACGTGGACGTGGACGTGGACGTGGACGTGGACGTGGACGTGGACGTGGACGTGGACGTGGACGTGGACGTGGACGTGGACGTGGACGTGGACGTGGACGTGGACGTGGACGTGGACGTGGACGTGGACGTGGACGTGGACGTGGACGTGGACGTGGACGTGGACGTGGACGTGGACGTGGACGTGGACGTGGACGTGGACGTGGACGTGGACGTGGACGTGGACGTGGACGTGGACGTGGACGTGGACGTGGACGTGGACGTGGACGTGGACGTGGACGTGGACGTGGACGTGGACGTGGACGTGGACGTGGACGTGGACGTGGACGTGGACGTGGACGTGGACGTGGACGTGGACGTGGACGTGGACGTGGACGTGGACGTGGACGTGGACGTGGACGTGGACGTGGACGTGGACGTGGACGTGGACGTGGACGTGGACGTGGACGTGGACGTGGACGTGGACGTGGACGTGGACGTGGACGTGGACGTGGACGTGGACGTGGACGTGGACGTGGACGTGGACGTGGACGTGGACGTGGACGTGGACGTGGACGTGGACGTGGACGTGGACGTGGACGTGGACGTGGACGTGGACGTGGACGTGGACGTGGACGTGGACGTGGACGTGGACGTGGACGTGGACGTGGACGTGGACGTGGACGTGGACGTGGACGTGGACGTGGACGTGGACGTGGACGTGGACGTGGACGTGGACGTGGACGTGGACGTGGACGTGGACGTGGACGTGGACGTGGACGTGGACGTGGACGTGGACGTGGACGTGGACGTGGACGTGGACGTGGACGTGGACGTGGACGTGGACGTGGACGTGGACGTGGACGTGGACGTGGACGTGGACGTGGACGTGGACGTGGACGTGGACGTGGACGTGGACGTGGACGTGGACGTGGACGTGGACGTGGACGTGGACGTGGACGTGGACGTGGACGTGGACGTGGACGTGGACGTGGACGTGGACGTGGACGTGGACGTGGACGTGGACGTGGACGTGGACGTGGACGTGGACGTGGACGTGGACGTGGACGTGGACGTGGACGTGGACGTGGACGTGGACGTGGACGTGGACGTGGACGTGGACGTGGACGTGGACGTGGACGTGGACGTGGACGTGGACGTGGACGTGGACGTGGACGTGGACGTGGACGTGGACGTGGACGTGGACGTGGACGTGGACGTGGACGTGGACGTGGACGTGGACGTGGACGTGGACGTGGACGTGGACGTGGACGTGGACGTGGACGTGGACGTGGACGTGGACGTGGACGTGGACGTGGACGTGGACGTGGACGTGGACGTGGACGTGGACGTGGACGTGGACGTGGACGTGGACGTGGACGTGGACGTGGACGTGGACGTGGACGTGGACGTGGACGTGGACGTGGACGTGGACGTGGACGTGGACGTGGACGTGGACGTGGACGTGGACGTGGACGTGGACGTGGACGTGGACGTGGACGTGGACGTGGACGTGGACGTGGACGTGGACGTGGACGTGGACGTGGACGTGGACGTGGACGTGGACGTGGACGTGGACGTGGACGTGGACGTGGACGTGGACGTGGACGTGGACGTGGACGTGGACGTGGACGTGGACGTGGACGTGGACGTGGACGTGGACGTGGACGTGGACGTGGACGTGGACGTGGACGTGGACGTGTGGACGTGGACGTGGACGTGGACGTGGACGTGGACGTGGACGTGGACGTGGACGTGGACGTGGACGTGGACGTGGACGTGGACGTGGACGTGGACGTGGACGTGGACGTGGACGTGGACGTGGACGTGGACGTGGACGTGGACGTGGACGTGGACGTGGACGTGGACGTGGACGTGGACGTGGACGTGGACGTGGACGTGGACGTGGACGTGGACGTGGACGTGGACGTGGACGTGGACGTGGACGTGGACGTGGACGTGGACGTGGACGTGGACGTGGACGTGGACGTGGACGTGGACGTGGACGTGGACGTGGACGTGGACGTGGACGTGGACGTGGACGTGGACGTGGACGTGGACGTGGACGTGGACGTGGACGTGGACGTGGACGTGGACGTGGACGTGGACGTGGACGTGGACGTGGACGTGGACGTGGACGTGGACGTGGACGTGGACGTGGACGTGGACGTGGACGTGGACGTGGACGTGGACGTGGACGTGGACGTGGACGTGGACGTGGACGTGGACGTGGACGTGGACGTGGACGTGGACGTGGACGTGGACGTGGACGTGGACGTGGACGTGGACGTGGACGTGGACGTGGACGTGGACGTGGACGTGGACGTGGACGTGGACGTGGACGTGGACGTGGACGTGGACGTGGACGTGGACGTGGACGTGGACGTGGACGTGGACGTGGACGTGGACGTGGACGTGGACGTGGACGTGGACGTGGACGTGGACGTGGACGTGGACGTGGACGTGGACGTGGACGTGGACGTGGACGTGGACGTGGACGTGGACGTGGACGTGGACGTGGACGTGGACGTGGACGTGGACGTGGACGTGGACGTGGACGTGGACGTGGACGTGGACGTGGACGTGGACGTGGACGTGGACGTGGACGTGGACGTGGACGTGGACGTGGACGTGGACGTGGACGTGGACGTGGACGTGGACGTGGACGTGGACGTGGACGTGGACGTGGACGTGGACGTGGACGTGGACGTGGACGTGGACGTGGACGTGGACGTGGACGTGGACGTGGACGTGGACGTGGACGTGGACGTGGACGTGGACGTGGACGTGGACGTGGACGTGGACGTGGACGTGGACGTGGACGTGGACGTGGACGTGGACGTGGACGTGGACGTGGACGTGGACGTGGACGTGGACGTGGACGTGGACGTGGACGTGGACGTGGACGTGGACGTGGACGTGGACGTGGACGTGGACGTGGACGTGGACGTGGACGTGGACGTGGACGTGGACGTGGACGTGGACGTGGACGTGGACGTGGACGTGGACGTGGACGTGGACGTGGACGTGGACGTGGACGTGGACGTGGACGTGGACGTGGACGTGGACGTGGACGTGGACGTGGACGTGGACGTGGACGTGGACGTGGACGTGGACGTGGACGTGGACGTGGACGTGGACGTGGACGTGGACGTGGACGTGGACGTGGACGTGGACGTGGACGTGGACGTGGACGTGGACGTGGACGTGGACGTGGACGTGGACGTGGACGTGGACGTGGACGTGGACGTGGACGTGGACGTGGACGTGGACGTGGACGTGGACGTGGACGTGGACGTGGACGTGGACGTGGACGTGGACGTGGACGTGGACGTGGACGTGGACGTGGACGTGGACGTGGACGTGGACGTGGACGTGGACGTGGACGTGGACGTGGACGTGGACGTGGACGTGGACGTGGACGTGGACGTGGACGTGGACGTGGACGTGGACGTGGACGTGGACGTGGACGTGGACGTGGACGTGGACGTGGACGTGGACGTGGACGTGGACGTGGACGTGGACGTGGACGTGGACGTGGACGTGGACGTGGACGTGGACGTGGACGTGGACGTGGACGTGGACGTGGACGTGGACGTGGACGTGGACGTGGACGTGGACGTGGACGTGGACGTGGACGTGGACGTGGACGTGGACGTGGACGTGGACGTGGACGTGGACGTGGACGTGGACGTGGACGTGGACGTGGACGTGGACGTGGACGTGGACGTGGACGTGGACGTGGACGTGGACGTGGACGTGGACGTGGACGTGGACGTGGACGTGGACGTGGACGTGGACGTGGACGTGGACGTGGACGTGGACGTGGACGTGGACGTGGACGTGACGTGGACGTGGACGTGGACGTGGACGTGGACGTGGACGTGGACGTGGACGTGGACGTGGACGTGGACGTGGACGTGGACGTGGACGTGGACGTGGACGTGGACGTGGACGTGGACGTGGACGTGGACGTGGACGTGGACGTGGACGTGGACGTGGACGTGGACGTGGACGTGGACGTGGACGTGGACGTGGACGTGGACGTGGACGTGGACGTGGACGTGGACGTGGACGTGGACGTGGACGTGGACGTGGACGTGGACGTGGACGTGGACGTGGACGTGGACGTGGACGTGGACGTGGACGTGGACGTGGACGTGGACGTGGACGTGGACGTGGACGTGGACGTGGACGTGGACGTGGACGTGGACGTGGACGTGGACGTGGACGTGGACGTGGACGTGGACGTGGACGTGGACGTGGACGTGGACGTGGACGTGGACGTGGACGTGGACGTGGACGTGGACGTGGACGTGGACGTGGACGTGGACGTGGACGTGGACGTGGACGTGGACGTGGACGTGGACGTGGACGTGGACGTGGACGTGGACGTGGACGTGGACGTGGACGTGGACGTGGACGTGGACGTGGACGTGGACGTGGACGTGGACGTGGACGTGGACGTGGACGTGGACGTGGACGTGGACGTGGACGTGGACGTGGACGTGGACGTGGACGTGGACGTGGACGTGGACGTGGACGTGGACGTGGACGTGGACGTGGACGTGGACGTGGACGTGGACGTGGACGTGGACGTGGACGTGGACGTGGACGTGGACGTGGACGTGGACGTGGACGTGGACGTGGACGTGGACGTGGACGTGGACGTGGACGTGGACGTGGACGTGGACGTGGACGTGGACGTGGACGTGGACGTGGACGTGGACGTGGACGTGGACGTGGACGTGGACGTGGACGTGGACGTGGACGTGGACGTGGACGTGGACGTGGACGTGGACGTGGACGTGGACGTGGACGTGGACGTGGACGTGGACGTGGACGTGGACGTGGACGTGGACGTGGACGTGGACGTGGACGTGGACGTGGACGTGGACGTGGACGTGGACGTGGACGTGGACGTGGACGTGGACGTGGACGTGGACGTGGACGTGGACGTGGACGTGGACGTGGACGTGGACGTGGACGTGGACGTGGACGTGGACGTGGACGTGGACGTGGACGTGGACGTGGACGTGGACGTGGACGTGGACGTGGACGTGGACGTGGACGTGGACGTGGACGTGGACGTGGACGTGGACGTGGACGTGGACGTGGACGTGGACGTGGACGTGGACGTGGACGTGGACGTGGACGTGGACGTGGACGTGGACGTGGACGTGGACGTGGACGTGGACGTGGACGTGGACGTGGACGTGGACGTGGACGTGGACGTGGACGTGGACGTGGACGTGGACGTGGACGTGGACGTGGACGTGGACGTGGACGTGGACGTGGACGTGGACGTGGACGTGGACGTGGACGTGGACGTGGACGTGGACGTGGACGTGGACGTGGACGTGGACGTGGACGTGGACGTGGACGTGGACGTGGACGTGGACGTGGACGTGGACGTGGACGTGGACGTGGACGTGGACGTGGACGTGGACGTGGACGTGGACGTGGACGTGGACGTGGACGTGGACGTGGACGTGGACGTGGACGTGGACGTGGACGTGGACGTGGACGTGGACGTGGACGTGGACGTGGACGTGGACGTGGACGTGGACGTGGACGTGGACGTGGACGTGGACGTGGACGTGGACGTGGACGTGGACGTGGACGTGGACGTGGACGTGGACGTGGACGTGGACGTGGACGTGGACGTGGACGTGGACGTGGACGTGGACGTGGACGTGGACGTGGACGTGGACGTGGACGTGGACGTGGACGTGGACGTGGACGTGGACGTGGACGTGGACGTGGACGTGGACGTGGACGTGGACGTGGACGTGGACGTGGACGTGGACGTGGACGTGGACGTGGACGTGGACGTGGACGTGGACGTGGACGTGGACGTGGACGTGGACGTGGACGTGGACGTGGACGTGGACGTGGACGTGGACGTGGACGTGGACGTGGACGTGGACGTGGACGTGGACGTGGACGTGGACGTGGACGTGGACGTGGACGTGGACGTGGACGTGGACGTGGACGTGGACGTGGACGTGGACGTGGACGTGGACGTGGACGTGGACGTGGACGTGGACGTGGACGTGGACGTGGACGTGGACGTGGACGTGGACGTGGACGTGGACGTGGACGTGGACGTGGACGTGGACGTGGACGTGGACGTGGACGTGGACGTGGACGTGGACGTGGACGTGGACGTGGACGTGGACGTGGACGTGGACGTGGACGTGGACGTGGACGTGGACGTGGACGTGGACGTGGACGTGGACGTGGACGTGGACGTGGACGTGGACGTGGACGTGGACGTGGACGTGGACGTGGACGTGGACGTGGACGTGGACGTGGACGTGGACGTGGACGTGGACGTGGACGTGGACGTGGACGTGGACGTGGACGTGGACGTGGACGTGGACGTGGACGTGGACGTGGACGTGGACGTGGACGTGGACGTGGACGTGGACGTGGACGTGGACGTGGACGTGGACGTGGACGTGGACGTGGACGTGGACGTGGACGTGGACGTGGACGTGGACGTGGACGTGGACGTGGACGTGGACGTGGACGTGGACGTGGACGTGGACGTGGACGTGGACGTGGACGTGGACGTGGACGTGGACGTGGACGTGGACGTGGACGTGGACGTGGACGTGGACGTGGACGTGGACGTGGACGTGGACGTGGACGTGGACGTGGACGTGGACGTGGACGTGGACGTGGACGTGGACGTGGACGTGGACGTG